CAAAGACAGTTTAACAGGCAAAACAAAAGCCACACACGCAAGCAGAGCAAAACAGGGAATTCATTCACCACTCCCCATGGGCAGGCAGGTGTTCAGCCATCTCCAGGGAAGCAGCGGTCCGTCACATGTAATGGCTTCTTGGGAAGACAGATGCCATAACTCCAAACGTCCCCCCACCCCTTCCTTCTTATTCCTCCCAACTTTATATACTGAGCATGATGTCATATGGTATGGAATATCTCTTTGGTCAGTTGGGGCCAGCATCCTGGCTGTGTCCCCTCCCAGCTCCCCGGGCACCCCCAGCCTACTCGCTGGCAGGCCAGTGCGAAAAAGCTGGATAGTCCTTGACTGCTTAACAACAAGCCAAAACATCAGCACATTATTAACATTTTTTCATCCCAAATCCAAAACAGCCTCACAGTAGCTTCTGTGAAGAAAATGAACTCTATCCCAGCTGAAACCAGGACAATCACAAAGTCCCCTGCCTCATTCAGCAGTAGGCCCATGTTTTCATTAGTCTTCCTTTTACTATTTGTGTAGCTGTAGATCCTTTCTTGTTGTCCTTCACATGTCTTAACAGACTCAACTCCAGATCGACCTTGACTTTTCTAACCTTGTCCCTGCAAGATCAAAAAGCAGTTTTATAATGCTAGGCCACCTGCTCCTGCTTCCACCTCTTGTACACTTCTTTTTCATGTCTGATTTCAGATAGGAGCTTCTTGTTCATCCATCCAAATCTCCTGCCATCTTTGCTCGGGTTTTTTTTCCCCTTATTGCTTTCCTGTCATTTATAAAGAAGGCTGGGACAGGCCAAACCATGGTGTTGTGAGGGAAGACCAACAAGTGATACTTTTTGAAGTGATTGCACAGGAGCATGAATTTTAAGAATGCCAGGGACCCTTGAGGATTAATCTCCTAAGCTTTGCCCATGGGTGGAAGATGGGCCTAAAAAGTACAGGAGAGGTCTTTACACCTGCACTTTGCAGCATATTACAAAAGGGAACCAGGTTCTCCTGTCGGAACAGGCTGCACTGACTCAAGTTGACTAGGCTGATTTGTCATTGAATGACTATTTTCTATAAATGGGTCACTGTTCCCTTTACCCCACCCACTCAAAGCACACCGAAATAACTTCCTGATAATACTAAAAATTGCAATGGATCATCATTGCAAAAAAGATAATCTCTGTTATTTTGTGGGGCTTTTTGTGGGGTCTGTTACCAAGGCCGTGAGGAAGTAAATAACATTAAATGGAAGTTACTCACAGACTATTGATTGTTTAGGTTCTAAGTGAAGGAAAACATAAACTGAGACAATTTGTTTTGCTGAACTATGTGGTGGTCAAAGACCTGTTTTACACTGCTGATGAAATAATAGAAAGGGGAATAAAAAGAGAGGAAGGAAGCTGATAAAAGTCAGTAAGGGTGCTGGAGATTGCAACTGGCAAGTGAAGCCACCTCTGAGAGCTGCTGCTATAGGTGGAAGAGTTGACAGAGAGCCAAGGGCTGTTTGTGTGGTTTGATCCAAAGTGCAAAATGAAGTTCAAAGGGCTTCTTTTGATTTACTTGCTTTACTTGCATCGTCCTCATCCTCTGGGTATGTTGTTCAGAGTTTTCTCTACTGGCAGGCATAGAATCATAGAACAGTTTGGGTTGAAAGGGACCTATAAAGATTATCTAGTCCAACCCCCCTGCAAATGAGCAGGGACATCTTCAAGCAGATCAGATTGCTCAGAGCCCCGTCCAACCTGACCTTGAATGTTTCCAGGGATGGGACATCTACCACCCCTCTGCGAGGTCAAAATCACAAACCTTGGCTGCTAATTTTCAACTCACCTTTACTTTTTGCTTTCCCTGTTCCTGCATGAATTTGCAATATTTGGATGGAACTTGTTTTTTCAGGCCAAATATGACAACTCCGCACTGCATTTGAGCGCTGAAGAGGGGGCACACTGTGACAATGTTTCATCCTTGTCCTCATGGGAGCAATGACCCAGAGGATGTGGGAAAGTTAATCAATTACACTCCTGCAGGCAGGCAGAAAAAGACCTGGGGGAAAACACATCCTGTGGCTCACAGGCGGCTTTTCAGTTCATGGACTGGGATCATCCATATTTGAAAAAATCAAACCAGGTAATAACAGCTGGCTTCCAGAAAGCAGAACCTGGGACAGGTGGTTGGGCCAGTGTCTGCCTGCATGGCGGGGAGGTGGGAGGTGCCCAGGCCCTACGTCTCTCAAGTGCCAAATCTGATGTTTCTCTCAGCAGCAGCAAAAATACCTTGACAATGCATCAGCTTTATGCAAGCGGTTTGTTTGACCCAGTCGTCGTGGTTTTTCATTCCCCAGAACCTCAGCCCTAAGTCTAATTTCAAAAGTAGTAGAAGGAGAATTTTGTTTGACTTCAAGAGGCCCTTGGTGTCTTAAAAGAAAGTAGAGACTGGTGGGAGAGATAATTACTTGAGGTACCAACATAGGTAGGAGGAAAGTGTCAGTGAAAAGAAGCTGTTGTCACTTGAGAATTAGACCTCAGTTTAGATTACTGTCTCAAAATCAGAATAATTATAAGCCAGAAGGTATTTTTAGATACCTTTCCTTTGCATGTTGTGTCCCCACACCTCTTTCCCCCAAAGAACGAACTGTCTTAGGAGGTCTGTAGTCCAGTGTGTTTTACCTGTATAAAAAGCAGACAGGGACAAATTTGGCTCCATTACACTCAAGACGAATGTTCTGGGAGGAAAATTTGTTCTTAACTCAAATGGGCACATGTCAGAGTTGCCATGTGCTGGGGAACCAGAGAATTTTGGATGTCTGTCTTCATTTGTTTATCTCACTGGCTTCTGCAATGCTGACTGTAGAAACCATGGTGATTTCAGATTTCCATTAACTATCACCTACAACCTAGTTTGGTAGTTCAGTTGTGTGCTGCTTGTTGTTTTAGTTCCAGGATTTAATGCGTCCCTGGAGGAACTTGATCAAAGCAGGGGCTAGACAGTTAACAGAGTACTATTTGTGTGTCAGACAGTCGTGCTGGGGTGTCCAAGACTCACTAAGATTTGAATAGGTCTTCCTGGGTCATGCAATAGATAAGCCAGTTGAAAGTAGCCAACCCAAGAAAAGTGAATAGCCAGATCAAAACTTGTATCACATCACTTGACTGGAGACTTATATGATGTGACAAAGATAATAAGGGTCTCATCAGACAAACAGTACTGTTGGATTAAAAAAGACAGTGAACATGTCAGCAAAGGTTCTGAAAGGAATGAAAATAAGCCTAAACAGAAATCATGGCAGCACTTCTGGGTGTATTCCCAGCCATGATCCAGCTCCCTACCTAGCACCATGTGCAGCAGACAGACTTCCACTCTCCTTACTTGAGAAGCTGGAGGCAAAAAATAGCCTAGGGGACAAGGTCTCCAGAAGGCAATATGAGGTGTGTGTCCAGGCCACTTTGCATGCAGCATAATGGAGTCATTCATCTGCCCAATCATGCCCCTCCATGAGAAGAAGGTTCCTGTGCTTCTGATGCAAGCACAGAAAAAGCTTGAGACCAGCTAGGAAACAGAGATAGGAATTGAGGTCTGCCATTTAAATCTTTACCTATTGATTCCATGGAGCAGCTTATTTTGCATGATGCTTAATGAAGGGAAAGGTTGGATTTGAAGGGAGAAAATGTGTTTGCCTCTTTCACATGCCTCTAGAAAAGTAAACTGTAAACCTTTACCAGGACATGAAGGGAGCAACCAGCAAGCCCAGAGGAAAGAGCACTTTGTCACTTAAGGCTGTCTTCCTGAGCTCTTGCTGGACAAGGGCAGCAGGCTAAGGCCACACTGACTTGTCAGTTCAGATTAGGACCGTCCTTGTGAAGTGAATCTTCCAATCATCCCCATGCTTTCGTTCACACAGTGGAGCACTGGGCTCCTCTTGGGTGCGCCTAGCCCTGAAGATGCGCTCCAGGAGGGCATCTAGCTGGCTCTGACTGCTAACAGGCATTCAGCCCATAGGGCTGGACTGGTGCCAGTCTAGGAAAGACTCCCTCTTGTCCCCATGCACACTGCCTGGCTTTTGAGTCCTCAGCACCAACTGCTTCACCCCACTGCTTCACCTCTCCTGCTTGCTGCACTACTATGGGGACATAATGTTAGCCCAGTTTATTGCGGACGTACAGATAATAAGTCTCTTTAGACACGATAACTGTGATTATTATAAGATTTTAAGTTCTGCTGTTTCTAAAATATGTTTAATCTCAGGCAAAACACTGTTCTATTTCCCACTTTCTGCGTATAATTTTAGGTATATGGATATATAAGGTATAGGTATAGTGTATATATATATAATGTTAGATATATGGACATATTTTCAGGCTATAGCAGCATATATCTGTCCAGGTAACACAGAAGGAAATTCACCCTAGTGCTACCTCTTGTGCAATAGCCTCCCTGCCCCAGCAGCTCACCTCTCTCTGTCACAGAAAGGCCCACAACTTCTGCTCTCATTTGGGGGCAGAAGTGGCTCCAGCCAGCTGAGGTGCATCAGGCGTGTGGAGTGGCAGTGTAAACATCTGCTAGCAGCAACAGCTCCTGATTTGTAAGAGGCAGGCTGTGTGTGCCTCTCCTACCCTCAGGTTACTGGCACTTCGAGGTCTGTGTCTTCATCCATGATATGATGTGGTCACACCTATGCACAGCTACCTGGGCCTCGTTTGGATCAGGGCTACGGTCACCTCTTATTTATACATCTGTGAAAAGATAAAGCAAAGTGCTGACAGGAGAGATACTCACATTCTGATAAATTAATTTTATCTTTTTTAACATGGTATGAAGAAGGTGTGCATTCCGAAATCCTGCACTGCTCATTTGTTTATAGCTAGAGATATGTCAAGTTTTTATTTCCTGTAGTCATTTCCTCCTGTTCCCTCCAGCCTCTGGTATAAAGTGATCAAATAGCGAAGTCCAGAGATTACGATTACTCATCTCTTCACAGTCTGTTGTGTCATTCCAACCATGAGACTCATCTTTCAAACATGTTCAGTGATCTTCACACTCACCAACCTGGTGGCTTCTCAGTCACAATCTCCTGGTAAGTTCAAATCCACAGATAATTATTCAAGAAATGTATATATTAGTTAGCAATATTTCTGTGCGTACTTTACCTCACGTGTTACAATATTCAATACTTTTTTTTGGTGAAAAGAATCAACCAAACAGAAATTGATATCCAGCAGAGGTGGAGGTGGATCCTTAGAAAAAATAATAATGATGATGATAATAACAGATTTCTATGAAAATTTTCTAATCAAAAATCAAGGCAGAACTCGCTAAGCTTGTGTCTGTTCTTCAAGCGCAACTACTTACTCTCTAAGGCATAGGTTATAACCAAGTAGACTGCATCCAAAAAAGACTAGCTTTTCCATTGAACAAAGATGGATAAAACAGATTCCAGGTAAGATTTGCTTAGTATTATAGAAAAATAAAACAAGTATATGGGAAAAATGGGAAAATATGCAGCAATATCTTGTGCCTGAAAAAGCATCAAGGTAAAAATACTATTAAACGGCAAAATTACTAAAGACCTTAAAGACTGGTTATTTGTCTACCTGAATATGAGAACATCTCTATTTCATGTGTTTGTCTGCAATGCCATTCCTTATAGCTTGCCAAAGATAAATGGATTCTTACAGAAATCAAACATAAAGCCCAACACATAGACCAATAATCTAATCTTCAGTCTTGTTAATTTATCACAAGTTCCCTTCATTCATTTTATTAGGAGAAATAAATACTTTAAATTTATGATCTTGTCTTGTCAACCTATAAATCAGCTCTCTGTCCTGCTGGACGTACAGTAAGTACCATTTTCAGCAATGCATCACCACCTCATTCTCCAGTGTTGATTGCTCCTGTGAGTCACTGGCTCTCCTGCAAGGGGACATGACTCTTTCCTGTCCTGAGATGGCAACCACCTATAGCCATGCTGTACTGATGGCATGACTTTGTGGAACAAGAGTTGAAAATTACAGTCGTGGTTCTTATTTGGTGCAAAGTGTTGTGATGCCTAGCAATGGTTGGCAATCTTCTGAAAAAAGCACTGTTTGATGGGTTATAAGAATCATGCTATAAGGATTACACCTTGCCTCAAAATGTTTATAAAAAACTCTCTCTTGCTATCTTGTTCCTTTTCTTGAAAAGAGGTTTCCTGTTCAGTCTCTGTCCTGTGCATTCAGTTCAGGTGTCTTGTACGCAAGAAGTTGCACTTTTGCCTACATGTGTTCCTATTAATGAAATGTTCTCATAGGTGAGTAGTATTTAAGGGTAACTAAAGACTGTAGGCTCAGATCTGGCTCTTGCTCTGCAGTAGTTTCTATACAGTGTACTGCAATATGTGGAAGTTCAACATGTGGTTACTTATCAGGTTTCATCAGTGTAAGGAAATCAAAAGTGGTTTTTCTTTGTTATGTTTCAATGAGGTTGCAACTTTTCCAGTACATGCATGTTCCATTCTGTTATCTATGCAGATTGACATTCTGCCTCTTCTTTTTCTTCTTTTTGATCTGTTCCATGACATTCAGCCTTTTTACAATGTTCCCCTTCAATAATATTTTTTCTGAGTAATAAACTTTGAAAAGTGGCTTGGAGGTGGAACGTACTTGCTCATATTCTTGTTCATGGTTGTGTCTGCATTATTTATTGCTCAAGGAAATTTCTTCTTTTTTCCCTTGTAAAAGTACTTTCTTCACACACCAGAGCGGTATTTTCCATGCTTCTCTGTCCTGAGAAGAGCTAGGTGTCCAGCAGTGTCTGTGAGGTTAAAGTCTTGTGTGGAGCCCTACCAGTCCTCATCTGGTTTTACCAAAGGTGTAGACTTGGATAATGCTCTTGAAGCACATGCTCCAGGGCACTGGCATGTGTCCTACAGCACTGCAACATACTGAATACCTAGCTGGACCAGCAGGCCATCCTCAGACAGAAAGTTGCTGCCACTCTCTTTAGCCAAGGGACTGCCTATTCGTAATATTTTTGACCTTTCCGTCTACCATTATCATAATACAAAGAATAATTATAAATGTGTTACTTTGGGCTATTGTGTGCCTCTAGGATCATGAATAGGAGAATGCTTTAAACGATTACAACTACTGTGGAAGAGCTGGCACATTAGCTGAGAATGATCCATGGTGTTAAAGTTGTATTCATAAAAATTCCATCATAAAGAAAGAGAGAGAAAGGGTCCCCTCTATTTTCTCCCTATCTCTTTCCATTAACAAAAGATATGAATGATTCTGCCATTCTGCCTCCAGAAGCATAGGTGTATAGGTGCTTTAAAAAAAAAAAAAAAGAAAGAAAAGGAAACTAAACACCTTTTCAGTTAAAGGTAAAGGAAAGATCATAAGAAGGAAATACCATATTATAGATAACCTGTACATATCCTTAGAGGATTTGACATCAGTTTAATCCAAACTCTAAAAAACTCACTTATGCTATGCACCTCTTCATGTTGAAATGTGAATTACGCAAAATACACATGCTATAATTTGAAAAGATGCACACAAATGTTTACTGGACGTTTACACAAAACACAACTCATACCACACTCAAAAAGGCTACAGAACTCGTGGAATCAAGAAAGCACAGTAGAAAATTGTCCTGACTAGAGCTCTAGAAACACAGTCTTTAATAGTAAAAGATTGGTAAAGCTTTTTCTGTCCTACATCAATAGTTAATTATGTCAAGACTGGTTTCTTCTGAAGTTCTTAAAAACTAGAGCACAGGAAAGAATATTATCTATCACCAGACAGTTTGTTACAATTTCTGTTCCATTTCTATTAAATGGTTCTATTTATTATTAAAGTATTTAATAACATATTACCTTCCATTTTAGTACATAAAAAAATGCAGTTGCTGGAGTTTACATTTAAATGTTAAAATCTCAGAGTTTCAATTAATATTATGTAGGTTTTTTGCAGAAAAAGGTTCTGATCCTAGAAAGATTTATATGTGTTGTTAAGTTGATGTGCT